CGTAAAGTTATAAAAAGGAAAATAATGGAGGAATGATTGTTTAATAGCACATTTCGTTTCACAAGGTGGACCCCTCAACTGCCCATGAGGCAGGCCTTACCATGCTTACATGCACCACATACTTTAATTTTAAAAGATAGCGGGGTTTGTAAATACATGTACATGTACCACCGAAGCACCCTTAATTAGTCATATTGTATTTTATTAACAAAATATTTCAAGGGTGTAGACCTACATTTTCCAGATGAGTGACCAGGTTAAAGTTTTTGGAGCAGGTCCATTCCCAAATAACTATAAGTCCTACCTGGACCAAACTTGCATGGAGGATGCATCTAGGGATGGACACTACCAGACTTGCTTCGGATGCTACATATGACCTAGATTTTCCAGATGAGTGACCAGGTTAAAGTTTTAGGAGCAGGTCCATTCCCAAAATTGCATGGATGATGCATCTAGGGATAGACACTACCAGACTTGCTTCGGATGCTGGATCTGACCTACATTTTCCAGATGAGTGACCAGGTTAAAGTTTTTGGAGCAGGTTCATTCCCAAGTAAGTATAATCCCTACCTTGACTAAACTTGCATGGATGATGCATCTATGGATGGACACTACCAGACTTGCTTCGGATGCTGGATCTTACCTACGTTTTCCAGATGAGTGACCATGGCAATGTTTTTGGAGTGGCTCTACAATTATTTGGCCTGTTATATATGCTTTAACTTGCATGGATGATGCATCTAAGGATGGAAAATTCCAGACTTGCTTTGGATGTAGGAAATGAAAGACATTTTCATGATTATTGAACAGTTTTTAGTTTTGGGAACAGGTCAATTCCCAATGAACTATAAGACCTACTTACATAGAACTTGCATAAATAATATAAATATAGGATGCACACTAACTATGAAGAAAATATGATGTGAGATTTGCATTACTTATACTGATAACATTCGTCGAGGTGGGCTTCGTAATCTTCGATTACCTATGTTTTTAAACCTATAGTTAAAATCTTCATAAAACTAGTCACAACTAGGGAGAATATGTTAGTCAATCATATTTTAAAAAGAAATTGAAATGAAATCGCGAAATTCGTATAAAATATTAATTAATAGCTAATATCGGTTTTTCAATGCTGAAACCATAGTTTAAAAGGGATTTCTTAAAGATCTATTAAATGAAATTTCGGTGTGGCATTCCTCCATGAGGTCCTTGAAAATTGGTTGTTTCTTTGCTTTAAATTCCTCTGAGAATTGTTTGGACGACAACATTTGAACATTTGCCCCGTGAAAGGCTCCAAATTTAGACGTACTCGACAACCATTCCCCACGATAAATTGAAGTCCAGGCTTTTTGACATCATAGACAGCTGCTTTTTCAATAAAATGGAACTCGTAAATATACTTACCTTGTCATTGGTCATTTGCAAAATTATTTTGTTAAAAAACATTCTGATTGTACACACAAGTACTCTGAAGTTGATATTAAAAAGATGCTTCACTTGCTGTGGCCTTCAACTCGACATTTCTATATATCGATCACGTATTATCAATTAACAATAGTTACTTCCATTCATATGTCGACTCGATATATCCCAGTGAGCCTGAAATAAAAGAGTGTCTGACACATCTGTTTCATAGTTAGATATTTTACTAGAAAAAGACGTTAATGGTAGCCTAACAACAAAGCTTTATGATAAACGTGATATCGATGACTTCAACTTTTCAATCGTCAACTTCCCTTACTTATGTAGCAATATACCCTTATCACCTGCGTATGGGGTGTATGTCTCTCAGTTGATTCGATAAGCAAGAGCTCTACCTATAAACAATCTCTAAAACAAGGCAAGCTATTGACAAACAAATTGATAAAACAAAGATATCAACAGTCTCATTTGAAGTCATCATTTCGCAAGTTTTATACTAATTGTTAGGCCATTATTTATACACTGAACTGTCTACGGATTTTTCCGTTTTTTTTCCTCCGATCATGACAAGGAGCACACGGTGGGTGTGACCGGTCGGAAGGGGATGGTCACTCCTCCATGGCACCTGATCCCACCTCTAAATTTTGAGGTCCTTGTTTGCTCTGCTCCTTTGTATCTTTTCATTGGACTTTCGAGATTGAATACTGTTCGTTATCCTCATATTCCATTCCCAAGCAACTACATGTATAAGACCTAGCTACTTGGACCAAACTTGCATAGATGATGAACCTACTAGATTATTAGTTAATTTAGTGTCTTTGCCTTACTTATATAAAGACAACATTCACTGAGGTGAGTTCCATAATCTCTGATTACATATAACTGTGTTTAGTTCTACTAGTCAGAGATCGACCAGAAGAGCTTCTGTGATAGTAAGGCGTCCGCCCTCTATTAGTCTGCCAGCATATGTCTGCAGGCCTCTAAGTGACCTCTAAAATTTAGGCGAAGCTGGCGCCTTATCAAAAAATTTAGTCGTCAATGCAAATTTTAGTCGCCAGGCAATTTTTAAAGGCTTTAAAAGATAATGGTAATCAAAATAGGGACCAATGATGTGACTAAGAAAACACTATACATGTCCATTGCTAAAAATAATTTCCTCTTCTTTTAAATTTCTTTTCTACGAAAGCCTATTAGGATCAAACTACGGTAAAAAAATTTGAAAAGGCGTTATAACGCGGAAAAAGGCGTAATAACGCAAATAAAGGCGTAATTACACCTTTCCAAAAGGGGTTATAACGCGAAAAACGGCGTTATTACGCCTTTCCAAAAGGCGTTATTATGCCTTTCCAAAAGGCGTTATTACACATTTTAAAAAGGCGTTATTACGCCTCTCTAAAAGGCGTTATTACGCCTTTCCAAAAGGCGTTATTATGCCTTTCCAAAAGGCGTTATTACGCCTTTTTAAAAGGCGTTATTACGCCTTTTTAAAAGGCGTTATTACGCCTTTCTAAAAGGCATTAATACGCCTTTCAAAAAGGCGTTATCATGCCTTTTGAAGGGCCATTATTTTGTCTTTGACAGGCCCGTGCTTTTGAAGTGGGGGGGGGGGGGGCTCCCATAAAATTGACATGCAAACAAAAAAAAAACAAGACACCCCCCCCCCCCCCGAAAAAAATAAACTGTCTTAACTTGAGGGGAAACTTTTTCTAACTTTTCGGTAAAACTTTTTTTAAATGCAATGACTTGCCCGAGTTTAACCATACTGCAACAAAATGTTAAGGGACCAAGCGATCAATAAATGATTTTTTATATTTAAACTACAGCAAGACTATTCTCCCAAAAAGTGGGGGGGGGGGCACTCGCATTCGTACTACCGGCCTGTTTGAAAAGGAGTTATATCCAAAAATGGAAAAGCGTTATTTTAAAATAGTAAATATATGAAAGACTGAACCAAAGCCATCTTTATTTATGCAATATTTAGATTATAGTTTTAATATTATAAAGTATATTATAAATTATAGTATTTTCTATATTCCTGCACATCTCGCAGACAGTTGTTTGCATTCTGCATGCATATTAAGAGAAGTCAACACTCTACTTTTGAAAATCCAGGATATAGGCAGAACCAGCTTTGGGCTTTGCTAGCCACGTATTAAAAATTCATGTCAAATTTGATCTCTCCTCTTGGGAAAAAACAGGGAAACTATTTGCATAAGTATAATGAGCAATTAGCCTTCAACCAAATTTCAGAAATCCATGCACCTTGGTAGAGGCGTCTGGCATCAGAGAAGGACTAAGATGGTTTAACACTGAAAATATTTTATACATTTAAATATCTTTTTTCCTGGAAATCTAATTATAATCAGCCCCCAGGATGGGCTAAGTAAGTCATGTATTGAAAAAAAGAGGCGTAATAACGCCTTTTGGAAAGGCGTAATAACGCATTTTGGAAAGGCGTAATAACGCCTTTTAGAAAGGCGTTATAACGCCTTTTGAAAAGGCGATATAACGCCTTTTAAATTTTTTTTTTTACCGTAGTTTGATCCTAATAGGCTTTCGTACTATTCTCTTTTTCAGAAAAATTGTTAAAAATTCCGGAATCCAACGATCGCCAGGTCAATTTTAAATGGTCGCCAATTTGGCGACTTATGGAAAATTTTTAGGCGCCAATCAAAAATTTTAGGCTTCATGGCGACTAAATTAGTCGCCAATTAGAGCCCTGGTCTGTGAACAATTTTTTACTTCTAAAGTCTTGGTATGGTAGGATAAAATTTGGTATGATTATGAAAGAAGATGGAACCTATCCCCCCTTCCACGAAACAGGATTTCGATTTGGGACAATTTTTCTTTTTTTTCTAAATTGCTTGTCAAGTCTTTTCAGTTATAATTTGTATTTTTTGCTCTGCCCCCCCCCCTTTCAAAAACAATGCTACGTCCCTGACATAGCTAGGTTCTTTCCTGACTGCGTTATGTTTTATCCTCACTGGGTTAAGTTCCAAATAATTGACTATGTTTCTGCCTATTTAGATATTTTACGAACTGTATTGTTTTAAATTTTCTAAATCCATTACTTTATTTTATATTTGATATCAATTATTTTGCCTTTTTTCACTGATATAAGTACTGTAGTTTCCTTTTCTTCATTCAAATAATTGCCTAAATGAATGGTATCTAAGACTAAAAAGGATTTTATAATCATATTTATGAAAAACCTCATTGGTAGAGTCTAGAACTGCCTGATAGACTCTTCCTAAACTATTAGGTCATTCAATTCAATCGGGTTAGGCCTTCCCTGTCCAATTACATAATATAGAGTCATACCGGAATTTGTTTTTCCGAACTGCCTGACTGGATTGAGTAATAGACTCTTCCTTCGTATATTCATTTTTACAAATAATTACATTCACATATAAACACTATCTATGAACTCTCCGGATTTTGTTAAATTTCTGTACATCCGTTTTCTGTGTTTTGTCAACCTTTGCACTCTTGCGCACTGTTTAGTATGACCGCTTTTATTTCCAAGCGCACACGTAACGCTGATTGATTTGTTGTATGGACTTGCAGTTTCATGAGTTTGATCCGCATTCGTCTAATGATTAGAAGGATTTTCATTTTACAGCTTTTGTGACCAAGTTCTACACAAAATATATTTGTTTAGGACAGGAATTTCAAAATAGAAAACCATGGGGTTGTTTTCTGGAGATTTATTTCCAACAAAAATGAGTTTTATTATATTTATATCATACATGGGATTGTTCATTAACCAAGGTGGGTACTAAACTGTCAGACCCGACGTAATGAATTTCAGAAACCATTGCAAATATCATATACAAACCACGACTTGTTGGCCCAAACATTTTGAATGAACAATCTTAGAAACTAAGCAATTTATTCATTTTTATCTGATTACCAAAACCAGTTTTGAGTTTAGCTAAAGTTATTGTGCATTGAAAGTTGAAAACCCTCTAGACTCTGTAGACTTAATATGTTGAAGGTGCGATCGTTAGGGCAAGCGCAGATGAATGTATGTTCGTTTGTCCTAAAACACGTTCACCTGTTCACCCTTGACGCCGTTTGCTCTCATTCTTGTTTGCTCAGAGTCCGTTCACTCTAAAACTCTTTGCCTAAAGTCTGTTTGCCCATAATATGTTAGTCAGTTAATTTTTCGTAATTTCCTTTGATTTTATTGGATTTCATGAATTTTTGTTTAATTAATAATTTATTTTTATTGAACATTCAATATAGATGAAGAAATGGAAAAAAAAGAAAAAAGAGGCCCATGGGCTACAACGCTCACCTGAGTAACTTTGGCCTTGCTGTTTTTCCCTGATTTCCCCCTTGTTAGCTCACCTGAGCTGAAAGCTCAAGTGAACTTTTCTGATCACGTTTTGTCTGTAGTCCATCTGTCTGTCAAGCTGTCTGTCTGTAAACTTTTCACATTTTCGACTTCTTCTTTAGATAGAATGTTCTATCGTTAAAATGATAAATGTCCTACGGACCCTGTTTAACGATAGAATGCATTCCATGTATGTCTATGTAGCAAAGAAAATACGGGAGATAACTCTAACTCAGTGCATTTACTATGAAAAGTCCAGAGAGTTCCGAATGTCAGCATGGTGTGTAAATTTGAAACGAGTGAAAAACGTTGTTGAAAAAGTGTTGAATTCTTCCATTATATGGATTAAATTTTTAGATGAAAGGTATTTACAGTCTCAAAAAGGTTTGTGACAGTCATGATTAATTTGACTGTTATTTTCAATGCAACTTCATTAATTTTCTCCAAAATCATTTTGGAGCGATTCTGCAATTTTCTGCTACATTACGGGTATATGGGAGGCATTCTAACTGTGGTGAGGGCCTGTCCCGAGACACAGTTAGATTATTCTAACTACTTCTTCTCCAGAACCACTGGGGCAATTTGAACCAAACTTGCCACAAAGCATTCTTGGGTGAATGGGATTCAAGTTTGTTCAAATGAAGGGCCACGCCCTAATTCAAGGGGAGATAATTCAGAAATAGTGAAAATTTGGTGGAATATTTTAAAAATCTTCTCCAGAACCACTGGCACAAAATAGTTGAAGCTTATAGGAAACCTTTGTTATATAGTGTAGATTCAAGTTTGTTCAAATCATGACCCCTGGGGGTAGGGTGGGGCCCAATGGGGGATCAAAGTTTTACATAGGAATATATAGGAAAAAAACTTTTAAAAATCTTCCTCTCAAGAACAGCAAAGCCATGATTTATCATATTGATATGGAAGCATCCTCAGGTATTGTAGATTCAAGTTTGTTCAAATCATGACCCCCGGGGGTTGGGTGGGGTCACAATTGGGGATCAAAGTTTTACATAGAAATATATAGGAAAATATCTGAAAATCTTCTTCTCAAGAACAGCAAAGCCATGATTTGTCATATTAATATGGAAGCATCCTTAGGTAGTGTACATTCATGTTTGTTCAAATCATGACCCCTGGGGTTAGGATGGGGCCACAATGGGGGATCAAAGTTTTACATAGGAATGGGTCAGTTCACCCTGTCCACCTCTTCACATGAGTCTGTTCGCGCAGGGTCCGTTCAGCCTGTACCCCATTCACCCTATACCCCGTTCACCATATATCCCGATATAATAAAAAAAATATTTAAGGAAATTGAGAGCGATGTTAATCATGTTAATAGGCCATTTTAATTTGGGATGAGCAAAGGGTTAATTTTTTTTGAAGAATTTTTTATTCTCAATTTAATATAATGTTATATAACATTGCTTATAAATTTATGAGTATCATATTGATTACTTTACAGTTTTTAGCTCACCTGAGCTGAAAGCTCAAGTGAGCTTCTCTGATCACCCGTTGTCCATCGTCCATCCGTCTGTAAACTTTTCACATTTTTAAATTCTTCTTAGGAATCACTGGGCCAATTTTAACCCAAATTAGTACAAAGCATCCTTGGGGTAAGGGAAGTTTAAATTATTAAAATAAAGGGCCAATCCCCCTTCCAAGGGGAGATAATCAGGAAAAGACAAAAAAAGGGGGGTCATTAAAAAATCTTCTTCTCAATAACCACTGGGCCAGAAAAGCTGAAACTTATGTGGAAGCATCCTGGGATAGTGTAGATTCTAAATTGTTCAAATCTTGATCTCCTGGGGTAGGGTTGGGCGACACAAGAGGGAATCCAAGTTTTACATTGAAATATGTAGTAAATATCTATAAAAATCTTCTTCTCAAGAACTACTGGGCCAGAAAAGCTGAAACTTATGTGGAAGCATCCTGGAGTAGTGTAGATTTTAAATTGTTCAAGTCATGACCCCCGGGGGTAGGGTGGGGCCACAATAGGTATTACAAGGGGGAAATCAGGTGAAGAACAGCAGGGCCAAAGTTTCTCAGGTGAGTGTTGTGGCCCATGGGCTTCTGTTTTTTGGTTTTTTTTTCAATTTTTATGCTTAGAAATGTGAATTTTGTTTAACGTAGTTAATGTGTTTCTAATTTTTTTAAACCGAACTGTTAAGTGATGTGGTTAATATCTACAAAAACATATATCTAAGAGAGTCTGGAGTTGGCAGTACTAGATTTACCCCTGTCAGTGCAAATTCAATATCTGATCAGTCAATACACAAGAACAACTCAATGTGATCTATTGCTCAAAGGCTAGCGCCCATAAGAACACACCTGTATTGGGTGGGTTCAACCTGTGTAGTTACATGTACAACCCAGGTGGTTTCATCCTGCTTATATATTCTTTAGTAGTGCAAGTGTCTATCATATACCCATATTCTTTTATTTGAAAAACATAATACAGTATTTTGACCAAATATATTTTCAAAGCCAGGTAATTATGCATTTTGAGATATAATGCAGAAAGTTGTGTCTTTGGTACTATAGGACAGACAGTATAGCATTAATGATTACTGTACACAGGGAAATTTTCGCCCAAGTTTTATTTTCCCCATTTTCGTCCTACTTATGGTTAGACGAATTTAAAACGGGGCGAATTCAAAAAACGCAGTATAGTTTCTTAAACAGAATTGTGACTGGGCGAATTTAAAATGGGGCAAATTTGTTTGCAATTGTGAAAGGGTGAAAATAACACGGGGGCGAAAATAACCCTGTATACAGTATTACTGTGTTACTTATAATACTATTAGTTGTTTCACATACTTAATGTAAATTATTAATATACATGTATTCATGTGAGGATTTTTTATTTTATTTTAAGGTATTCTTGTGACTGCATCCAAAAATAAGAATAATACCTATAGTTATAACACAGTGACAGTTGTTCTACTGACTGAACTACTAAAACTGGTTGTGTCTTCTACTGTATATTTGAAGGAGTAAGTATCACTGTATTTTTTTTTTACCCATAAAATAAATTTCATAAATACTTAAAATTAATGTAAATTGTGACAAATTCTAACTTTTGCATACAAGTTAATATTGCTATGCTTTTAAAAAAAAGTATATTAAAAAATTAAATATTTGAATAAAAATGTTGCAAGTCTTTAATACTTTTAATATGCTTTATTTTCAGCAATCCTGTTTCTAGTTATTTCTCAGAAATCTACAAACACAGAAGTGGTGAGCCTTTTATATTGCATAGAATAGCAGACACAGAGAAATTTGAGACTTAAGCTTTTAATCAAATCCTGATTGATTTTGAACTAGTTCTTATTTAATGAACAAAAGGATTTTGTGGGAGATCACAGCAAGAGAAAAAATATGTTGCATGTACACATTGCCACAATCAATGGTAGTGAAATATAGACATTGATTTCTAATAATTTGTCTAGATGCTGGGGTGGGGTGGTGGGTATTTATGAAAACAATTTTTTGGAGCATACATAGAATAAGTTATTTACAGGTGTAAATTTCCATAATATTTTTATAGTTATACATTCAAATGGACTGGTATTACCAGGTTTTCATTTTCACTGTTATTTCTGCATTAAGAGAATAATTAGGTAATTGATTTTGGACAGCTGTTTACATTATATCTATTGTGATGTCCTGGTGATATTTTTTCCATTTCATGTCAAAAAATTTACTTACCTTGTTTTTCTCATGCAGAAAAACAAGAAAAGCTATGTAAAAGCTCAGTTTCAACAATAGTTTTATTTTCTTTGAAAAGGACATTTTTAACAGTATTTTCTTTTCTGAAAGACTTGTAGGCATTCTGGGGTTATTATATGAATAACTGGGGAAAAACACAGCTAATTAACTTAGATTTTTTGATAGATTGAAGAATCGTAAAATCTTATTATCATGATATTTTTCTTAAAATGAAGTCTGGAGAATTCATTTTTAATGTAAAAAAAAGAAGTTGTGAAAAAAATTACATTTTACAATCAATACAAACTACAAACAGTAGTCACTCTGTAATTGATTTAATATTTCCATCATATAAATCTGCTGTATGTTTTCAGTGTTGATGTATTATTTTGTTCCTGCTGCTCTCTACTGCCTGTACAACAACCTGCAGTTCGTCAATCTAGCAACCTATGACCCCACGACCTATTACCTTCTACTGCAGTTTAGGGTTGTAGTCACAGGCGTAGTATTTCAGGTATGTTAATGCAACTTTTCCACATTTTTTGACTTTTTCCCAAGAAACTCTAGGCCAATTTCAACCAAACTTGCCACAGAGTATCCTTGGGTATAGGGGATTCAAATTTTTTTTTTTCAAATGAAGGGCCATGCCTTTTTCCAAGGGGAGATAGATATGAATTAGTGAAAAATAAATGACATCTTTTAAAAATCTTCTCTCAAAAACCACTGGACTAGAAAATGTGAAACTTATCTGGAGGCATCCTCTGGTAGTGTTGATTCAAATTTGTTCAAATCATGACCCATCGGGGATGGGGTGGGGTTACAATTTGGGAATCAAAGTTTTACATAGGAATGTGTAGGAAAAATCTTCTCAAGAACAGTAAAGCCTTGATTGGTCGTATTTGTATAGAAGCATGCTAAGGTAGCTTAGAATCAAGTCTGAGCAAATCATGACCTCTGGAAGTAGGGTAGGGCCACAACAGGATCACATTTATACAAAGGAATTTGAAAGATATATCAATAAAAACTTTTTTCTCAAGAACAGCAACATCATGATTAGTGATATGAATTTAGAAACATCCGCAGATTGTGTAGATTCAAGTGTGTTTAAATTATGTACCTGGGAGTAGGGCAAGGTCACAAGCCCCTCACCCCCAACCCCCTCTCCTGAACCAATTTTATTTTTAAACTTTTCAATACTGAACTGATTTCTGCTTTTCCTAGCCAAAGTGCTCAGGTAAGCAATAGCTAGAATAAGTGTTAATCTTAAAACTACCAGTATTATTTGTATTTAGTTAATGTTAAAAGTACACACATAAAGAAAGCTAAAACAAATCCCAATGTAGAATTTTCTTTTCCAGGTCATCTTTAGCAAGAAATTAAGTAGATATCAGTGGGTTTCCCTGACATTTTTGACTCTGGGATGCATAGTAAAAGAGTACGGCCATGACAGCAAATCCTCCCTTGCCACATCTGCCTCTTCTACGTCCAGTCCTCTCTCAGTCTACTTCAACCACCATCTCCTTCTCATACTTGTTCAGGTGTTCAGTTCCTGTTTTGCAGGTGTTTATAATGAGTACCTGCTGAAAGACAAGGGAGTGGATGTTCATATTATGCTGCAAAATGTGTTCATGTACCTGGACTCAATTTTCTGTAATGCTCTGGTGCTAGGGTTCAAGGGAGAATTTATCAGTGCATTGGAACCTGGAAACATTGCAGCTATAATGCAGCCAGGAGTTTTAATTATTGTTGTAAATAATGCTGCCATCGGCATCGTAACCAGTCTTTTTCTTCGAAACTTGAATTCCATCTTGAAGACATTTGCCAGTGCATTAGAGCTTATGTTCACTGCTGTGTTATGCTGGATCATTTTTGGTATCGCTATTGATATATACACTATTGTGGCCATTTTTATTGTATCTGCTGCTACGGTGATGTATGCCCAGAAACCAGTAGTGAATTTGGCAAAGACTGATATTGAAATTCAGGTTGATCCTCCAAAGGAATCTGTATAAACTTAAAAAAGATAATCATTTTAGTTTTTAGCACTGCTTGGTACAAAAGTATGTGGATGAAATCCTTTCTTTCAAATGTGCAAACTAAATGTATGTGCCAACTTTTGTAGAACCTATACATTAGTAGATTCTCCTCTAAATGATATAAGACTCATATCGTAATAAATCATACTTTCTGTAAATTTATTTTTATTTTTTTCTGGGAATTCATGTGAATTTTTTCTGGTCTGAATATTTTTAGGGTTTATTTGTATCATTGTGTAAATATCTTTTGTGGGTTAAAACTATACTGTATGCAAGTCTATAGCTAGTATTTAATATATTACTGGATTGTACATACTCATAACAGTTTTATTTTAATTGATTGTAAACTTCTGTGAACCTTTTGTTGAGAAAAATGTTGCTACTGCCAAAAGGTACAAAAGATATATTTTGTACAGTGCTTCAGTATATTATGGATATAACCATCAATCTCTCCTGATATACTATTTTTATTGTAGACTTGAAAGCTCAGAATGTTGTGATTCATTGTAACATGTGATATTTTTCTCTTTTTTTCCCCTTATTAACATAAATAAATTTTTGTGATGAAGACTGAAATCCAGAATGTTGCTGAAGTGATAGTGAATGTTCGTGTCTGATTCACTGATTAACAGTCTATAAAGACATACAATAAGAGAAGTGCATTCTTGCCAACTATCTTGTTTTTGATGAGTTAAAAAAATTTCCAATTTTTAGATTCTTAGACTGATTTAAGGTTTTTGGGGGTCAACTTTTAGTTTCCATCTTGGAATAAAAATTAAAAGATTTGAAATGTAATTCACAACCCAAATCTATCTGAGTGCAGCTAATGCTTCTACAGACCTGGTAAGAATTTTCATTTTAAACATCAAACTATGTTGAAACTTCATTGAAATACCATATTCAGTGCAATCAAAATGGTACCTTTCAATTTAAATGTTATAATTCAGATAAAGGTAATTCGCACCATCATTTTGTAATTTCAAGTCCATACATTTATTAGCTCTTCTGAGCCGAAGGCTCAAAGAGCTAATGCTATGGCCATTTGTGCGGTGTGCGGTGTGCGTAAACTTTTTAGAATATGGGCCATAACTCAAGAACCCCTTGGCCAATTATTGTCAAATTTGTCACAGGGTATCCTTGGCCCAAGGGCTCCCATTTCTACTAAAACTAGGATTGTGACCCTTAATCAAGGGGAGATAATTAGGTAAATAAAACCAAAAGTACTGGTTGCTAAAAAATCTTCTTCTCAAGAACCACTGGGCAGATTATCACCAAACTTACGATGAGGATATGTTTGAAGATTAAAAATTGTTCAAGGCATCACCCTGGGACAAAGGGTGTGGTCTCAAGTCACTTTAAAGTTGACCAAAAATTACATTTTATTAAAATGTTGATATTTTGCTTACTATAAGGACTAGGATCATCAAATCTTGTCAGTTGAGGCATCTAAGGACCTCATATCATGTTGACTCAAAAGTAAGTCACGGTGACCTACTTTTAAAATTTTGCAGTCATTCTTTTCAAAATGATTTAGAGGCTTATTTTGAACAATTTAAGGCCTATGATCATCAAACTTTGTCATTTGATGTATCTTGGGTCCTCGGAGTATGTCAACTAAAAAGTAGGTCACCTAGACCTACTTTCTGAATTTTATGGCTAATCTTTTTCAAAACATTTAAGGTCATTAATTCGAATACTGAGAGGTTTAGAATCATTAAATCTTGTAAGATGATACATCTTCGGGCTATAAAACATATTTATTAAAAAGTAGGTCAGAGTGACCTACTTTTTGAACTTTGCAGGCATTCAAGTTCAAAGCGTTTTAGAGGTATATTTTGGACAATTAAAGGCCTATAATAATCATAAAACTTTGTAAGTTGCTGCATCTTGGGTCCTCGAAAAATGTCAACTGAAAACAAGGTCATTGTGACCTACTTTTGAAATTTTATGATTTTATGACTATATTTAAATATTTGGGTACTATGTGGCTTAGAATCATCAAACTTTGTCAGTTTATGTATCTTTGGTCCTCAAAGTAGGTCAACTTAAAAGTAGGTCACTGTGACCTACTTTTCAATTGATATGGCTATAATTAAATATTTCGGGTACTAATTGGCTTAGAATCATCAAACTTTGGCAGTTGATGCATCTTTGGTCCTAGGAGTAAGTCGACTGAAAAGTAGGTCACTGTGACCTACTTTTGGAATTTTATGGCTATATTTAAATTTTTTTGGTACTAATTTGTTTAGAATCATCAAACTTTGTCAGTTGATGCATCTTTGGTCCTAGGAGTAAGTCGACTGAAAAGTAGGTCACTGTGACCTACTTTTGGAATTTTATGGCTATATTTAAATATTTTTGGGTACTAATTTGCTTAGAATCATCAAACTTTGTCAGTTGATGCATCTTGGGTCCTCGGAGTACGTCTACTGAAAAGTAGGTCACCTTGACCTACTTTTCAATTTATGTGGCTATAATTTAATATTGGGGTACTAGGTTTAGAATCATCAAACTTTGTCAGTTGTTGCATCTTGGGTCCTTGGAGTATGTCAACTGAAAAGTAGCGCCAGGTCAACATGACCTACTTTTGAAATTTTATGGCTTTATATAAATATTTCAGGTACTATTTGGCTTAGAATTATCAAACTTAGTTAGTTGATGCATCTTGGGTCCTCAGAGAATGACAAGTGATAAGTAGGTCACCATGACCTACTCTCAGGTACTAATTGGCTTAGAATCATCTTGGGTTCTCAGATTGTTTTATCTAAAATGTAGGTCATGATGACCTATTTTTGGAATTTCAAGGCTTTATTTAAATATACAGGATACTTAGAGTCTACAATTTTGTTTTATTCTATAATAACCAATGTGCATTCTTGAGCAAGAAGTGAATTTTGTATTATAAATGTGCAAGATGGTTAATTACATGTATTTTGCTATAAGAAAAATGTTATAAAACATCTTCAATAATTTTGGCTGCAGAAAAGAATATTTCATCAATTACAGTACTCCTATAAGTAAGAGCTTTGGTTAATGTCCCTACACTCCTCGTATACCTTGTGGGGGGGGGGGGGGGGGCAAAGTTAAAAGTATCTCACCGCTAACCTCTAGCTTACTGTAGTACAATGAACAGTGCTTGACATTATAAAAAATGTCATAATACAGAAATGCAGCAGATTAACATATGAACAATTTGCTGTCAGAATTCTTAATTCTGCATCATAGAATTTGGGTAATTATTGGGGAGAAAATGGCATTTATTGCATGTACAGATAGTAGAAAATTGCTATCATTATTTTATCAGGTATTACACACAAAATTAAGTTCTTGGAGTATATGCATCTAAAAGTTAGAAAAATAAAAAAGGGTATGAAACAGTCTGAAAGCTAGTCCCATAGAGGAACAGGAACCATTCCTTTAGTCCACGGCAGTATTGTGTCTTAATAATATCAAGTCAAGTAATTAGTTGTTGTCAGATATACACATGTTGTTTTATACTGGTATATATACTAATAATTACATTCACATTAATCAAAGTTCCTAATATGGCACACTTATTTAAATGTTTCTTTAAAAGTCAGCAATGCCTAAAAACAGTCATTACCCAAAACATAATGAACTTAAAATTTATTGCACAAAACATTTTAAACAAGCATTCTGAGAGTATTGCATTAGCAATACTAGTCTCCTACCGGCAAGTGTAATCTAGTTCCTGTTAAAAATTGAAAATGCCATAATGCCGTCAAAAATAAATGAAGCGGGACGAAATGCAAACTTGATCTGTAACTCATTAAGATAAAGTCACATACCGAAAATCAGCTCAATATCTTCAAGCGTTTAGAAATAAAGCGGGAAAACCTGAAAAATTGAAAAGGTCGTAATTCCGTCAAAAATCATTGAAGCAGAACGAAATGTAAACTTGATCTGTAACTCATCAAGATACACTCACATACCAAAAATCAGCTCAATATCTGCAAGCGTTTAGAAGAAAAGTGTGGAAAACCAATTGGGACAGACTGACAGACAGACAGAGGGACAGACAGACAGATGGGTGGACAGACTCAGAGGAAACCTATAGTCCCCTCCAGTTTCACTGGTAGGGGACTAATAAGAGGCACTAATGCTGCTTTGTTTATTTCAGTACATTAAAGTAAAGTTGTTGCAAGAGAAAAGGAGTGAACTTCATATGAGATTATAGATATAAAATATTTATTTCTCATTTAGTGCAATATATTCCTTGTGAACCGTTTTTTTTTTATAATATATGTAATTGTATTGTTACGTAGTTTACATATGTGCTGGACTGGAATCAATTTGACCTTCCACTGGGATCATGTTGTGTATGCATATCAGGGTTTTATAACTATAATCACCACTTCTAAATTCTTACATTAATGTAGAGCCTACGTGCTTTACAATTTTGTTGTTCTGTTTGTATGCAAGTTAATAATGAAATACTGTAGAGCAGCTTGACTCATATTAAATCCATTGTTTCTATGTTTGTCTAGTTTTTATATATTTCCTGTACACAATAGAATAGTTTTTCCATCAAATTAGAATACATTGAGATCCGCAGTTTAGAAAAGTAATCTAAGAAAGATAACCCAATGCAACTTGCATTTCATTGGATTTGAATGTTCTGTGATTTCTCGTGTACAAGTTATTCCATTGTTGGAGTGATGTATTTTTAATATGCTGAAGTAATTACAGTCTTCCTTGGAAGATGATATACAGAGCTGAAGTATTTTACAGTCTTCGGACTGTGCACTTCCTGTCTTCTGTGATTGGTAGAAAATGCATTCATTGGTTGAAATGCTGTGCTAGGCAAGGGAGATAATTTTCTGGTGATCTAATTCTTAGTACGACTCAACAATTTTTCAAGATTTCAATCTTTAAAAAATCAACAAATAAACAAAATAAAATTGCAGTAAACGAAACCAACACTTTAATTTTTTTTATAGCAACTATTAATAAGTTTTTTCTATATTTTTATGATTACATGTAACAGAAAGTTCTTTTTCTCCATGCAAACATTGAAATGTGTGTTTATTCTTTATCTTTTAGTTACATGGTAGGCTGGGCTAATGTCTGTAAAAAAAAGTTGTTGAAGTATATAGCCAAGACCTACAGTACTCAAAAATAATACAGCCTAGCTGATAGGAGTATGTCAGTTTACAGTTCAAGAATGTTGCTGAAGACGGCAATGCTTTTTGAAAAAAGCTATACTTCT